CGTTTGGCATGCACTCGGGTCCAAATGTGCTTGACACGAGTACAGTGTCAGCTCTCGCGTCGAATTCGGATGTCATCAAACACTTGGCGCAGAAACTGAGCCACGAACAAACTACGCCGACCCCAGTATATCGGGTTATAGATTTTTGAAAAGGGCCTATTCCGGACTGAATCGACGGGGCCTCGAGGTGCGTCGGGCAGCTATTGCGCAGGTTCGTGGATAGCGACATGAACAAAGTAAGGTGTCGGCAGGGCTCAGAAGAATAGGTCCTAAATAAAAACTGCAAACATGCTTCCATTAGAAGGACGAGGGAGATTGAGTTGTATCGAACCAATGACAAGGCCAGCACATGACGTCATCCAGGGTGGACCCCCGGCCCGCTCCGAGAGGCAATCACGCCGAAGCTCGTCCAAAGACGCCGCAAGGCGGCAGACTCGTCCGTATTGGCGTCACCGCCTGCTATTGTCTCGCTCGTTGTGGCACGCCGCTAGAAACACTGGCAGCGACGCTAACGCGAGCCAAGCGGCGTTGCCTGGATACACGTGATCTTAAGGCCGGGGGCCTTGTGTTCGAGGTGTTATCGAACGAACACTGTCGCATTCCGGTAATGAAAGCCCCATCCCGTCACGGCTCGGTTCACTTTCCTCGAGGAAAATATCCCCGCCGTAAGCGACGCCCAAGGTATGCACGCACATTCTCCTTTGTGGCGACACGCCAAGTTGGTGGCGCTCGTTTTGAAACGAGGCACTCCAACGAGGCCACCTGTTGGGTCTTTAACGTCACAAACTGGAGGCCAGCTCCGCATTCAGATTGAACACGAGCATATTGCGTCGTCGTGCGGCTTGGTTTCGCGTTCTGCGAGAGAGGACGCGAGCGCTCCGAGGCAAAGCGCTGGCCTAGGAGTCCCCAGTTGGTGGGATCGGATCCCGGTTGAAGTGCTCGGAATCAGACGGAGGGTTACCCGCGGAGAAGGCGCTTTGTAATTGAGATTTTGGTTGCACGGCGAAAAATCCCCAGGTAATGGAAACGGATCCTTAGTTTTTCCCTGTAAGAGATTCTCTTCGATGTCTTTTCGCCTCAAAAATTTAAATTTGATTTAATTGGTTGGGACATGCTGAGCGTGAGGGAACACGCTTGTCCGTGCCCCGCGCGGACATTCGGTAGATAAAGTAAAAAATCCAGGCTATACGTTTTATGTGAGCTGCTAATTTGTAATAATCAGAGACGAAAAAAAAAAATAAACGAATGAACAGCGCAAAAAAAAAGAAAAACAGGAGCCCTTGCGTTTTAGAATAAAGCAATAAAGTAAAACAATTTTAAGGCCCAAAACAACACAATGCGCTCGTTTTTTTATTGTTTGGATTCTGATGTTTACCCCAGAGTATACATAAAAAGCATGATCGCGTGATTCAATATCGACGGTTGCCTGGTCCAACCAGCACGTAGCTTTCATCGCCCTAGCAGCTTAGCGTTGCACGGAGTAACAGACGATTAAATAAAAGCGCAGAAACTATGAAGCAACGACTAAAAAAAGATTGGCTGGCGTGCAGGGGCAGAACCGTGGACTTTGTGGTACCTGGCTTACCGGTGTAGGGCGTTTGGGGTCCTTATATGGAGTACTCACTGGCGGCCATAGCTGTGTGCGCGAATGCTGAGCGCGTGCTGATGGCGAGCTTCCATAGCTCTTTTGCAACGTGCATTCCCCACCATTTAGAGTGCCGGTCTTAGCAGCCTATTGATGTGAGCTCGTTCTGAATATGCGTTCTAGACAGTACCCACAAATATTGCCGTTCAGTGAATACTCCCTATACTTCGTTTCAAGATAAGTTCAGACGCAGCCGACGCTACGTGCTTATTAAACCAATAAGACAGCATCCAAAACGCAGAGTCGTCATGCTGATTACGTGTTCTATCATTGCTCATCCAATCATGTGAATAGAAGGCCTAGTGACTTGCGCTTCTGACGCTGTTGTATTAGCTCGTAGCGTCGGCTGTGCCTGTAATAAATCTTAAATTTAGCATAGCTCTCCGGTACGAAGTTGGGATTGCTCATCTGAGGCGCAATAATAAAGTTACTTGCCTTCCGAGGCGGCACCGATAGAGGTATTATATTTTAACTGATTTATCTTCCTCACCTTAATTTATACCTAAGGTACTGAACATGTTTCTTCTTTCTTTCTTAACATCTGCGACGCCTCCATGTAAATGGCACTCACAGTAGCTACGTAGCTCAGGTGACAAAACGAAACAAAAAGCTTCCAAATGTATTTATAACGGGGATAAATTGAGCAGGTATTTTGGACAGTCGCACTCTTGTGCGAATCGAAGAGAGGCCGCAGCGAAGGCTCGTAGCGCGCCCATTCTCGAGTAAAGGACACCGTGCGCCAAGTTAACGAGAGAAAGGAACTTGCAAAACCAGATGTAGGGGTTCGGTTTCCTCTCGCTTCCTACAGGCGAAATCTCTTTGCGCAAAGCAGCGAATTCTTAGAGACATTTAAACGAGATTGTGGTCGACAAAAGAAGCTATAAGCGCGAAAAGTTGTCTTGTCAAGAGAGGGCACTTTAATGAGGAAAGTCGTATTCGACTTGTGAACGCAAGGCAATAACAAAACTCTAATTCAGCAACGCGGTTCCACCTTATCTCAGTCGTAGGCCTGCGCACTCCGAGTCACAACGCCGATACTGTTGCACAGACACATGGACACTCAGTTAAGTAAACCTCTACACACGATTGCCTACAGCTGGCCCAGCGCTCGGCTCGAAATTTTGTGACATAGAGATATTTTGCTTGCACCTGTCACTACTAACATGACGGAGCACCAAATGTTTCCATGCAAGTAAAATTAAAAATTATTTATTAGATATACTACACGTATGAAAACGATAAATAATAGTGAACAAAAGTACAGTTTTATTATCTTTTAAAATATTCAATCTTTTCGAAGTGCTTCTAAAACCCAAATTTGTTCAACTGCGCTTTGTATTTTCCACGAGAAAGGGTCCATGAACCACGTGATATCAAGACACGCGACTCAAATTTGCAAGAAATCCCAACAGAGGAACTCTACGAGACGCACGCTTAGGCTTCGCTCTTCTCAAGTCTACTTCCGGCGTATGTGCAGTAGCCACAGCGAATGTGAAACATCTAGGCTGCTTACAGAACTACACGAGTGCCACGGAAAAATGTTTTATCCACACGAGCGTTCCGCAGCATGTTATAAGTATGGTTCCGAGGTTTTGAATATCGAAAGAGAACGTCACACGACTCCTTTAATTCTGGGTCAACATATAATGAAGTGGTGGATAAATATTTCACCCGGGAAGGTTCGGATTTTTCTTATTTGAGGACAGCCTCAATTAATTTTCTTCCCAGTTTTTGAAGACTTTGATCAAACTAGTTCGGGGGTAATTTCATTTTTTTTTTTTTGTAAATACCTCAAACATGGAGTAGGCCGCAGATTGTCTGGTGCTTATTTATAAGAAAACACTGGCCGATCTTTTTGGTGTTTAAGTATTTTTTTAAATATCGCTTTATTTCGGTCATTCACTTTCGAGGGACGCAAAGAATGGTGATATCGCTGGTAAATCTCCTAAAAATTTAAATCTTGAGGAGTAAAAGGCGAGGGTTAGGACAAATACAGTCCTACCATAAATTTTTTTTTTTTTTTTTCAGAAATCAATGCTTTTTTCTAACGGCTCTTGTAATTTTGACACCAACAGATGTTTATCGGTGTTTTTCGAGGTTTTAACGATATTGTATTTTTGACACCTACAGTGCCGCTCCTTGATTGGCGCCACTGAAACAGAGCGTCGGCATCGATGGGACCCAAAGTGGAGTGGAGGAAAGCACCAAGGCGCCTCATCTTGTTGTTAAAGACGTTGGCATAGTAATCACACGTTAATCACTGAAAAGCGACCACACTCTTTACCTTAACACCTTGTGACCAGTTCAACAAATGTGGTACAAAATCCCACGTAGAACGTGCCCTATATCAATAGATATTGGAAAACGGACTATGAATTAAAGTTAAGATAAATTAGTATCAGCTTCGTTATTGATATATATTTATTGATCCTGTTAACCCAAAATCAATTTGGCGCAAGAGTGATGCATATGCAGAATTGCACAAAACACTGACATACCAAAAATGATTTTCCCAGTAGATCACAAAAAATACAAAAAAAAAACACTATACCCAAATAAACTACCGCAGGAAAACAACTAAAACAAGTTATCACATGATTTTCGATCCGCAGTTTGTTTAATTCATTTATGAGGAAGTGTAGGGGCGATGTAAAATAGCCAAAATAAAGGCAAAACTCAATTCCGCGCCATTAGTGAGAGTCTCCACGTTAAGTTGCGCAATAAAGCTTTGCCCTCTCCTACTTATTCTGATGCGCCCGATTCGACTTCGCCGCTTCTGCGTATTCTCGCGGCCGTACTTCCCGGCCCCGCTCTGAGAATCGATCAAATCTGCGCGATAAGTACTTTTCGTTCCTTTTACTATCGGATTCATCTTCGCTCGCTAGCGGATCGAGTGGACGTACTGGAGTTGAGATGATTGCGGCGCTTTCCGTTGGTGCATGGAAGGGATCCATGTTCTCACCTTGAAGGTCTAGTTGTAAAAAATGTCCAGGCTGCCACGCTGGATGTCTATTCCACTCCAGCTGTGGTCTATGCGACAGGCACGTATCCAAGGAGGAGGGAGGTCCATGGGGCTCGCCCCCCCCCCCCCCCCCCCCCCGAAAACGTCCATTTTGCTATGGCCTCCTCTCCCCCTCCCCTCATACAGCATGTTGTAATGGGCGCCTCCCCCCCCCCCCCCCCCTCCCCCCGAATCAAAATCCTGGCTCCGTGCCTGCTATGCGAAATGCTTCGTCTAGGAGCCGCTCTGACATGCGATCGCACGCTTTCAATACAGGCACTGAATGAGTACTTATAATCCAATTACTGCATAACGTAAACAAAAATACGGAAACGGATTAGAAACCTCGCTTACCGTCCGTTGGCGTCCGTTCAAGCAAACTGCGTTGTCTGCTGCTCCAACGGTCGAACTGCGTTGTCTGCTACTCCAACGATTGAGCCGCGTTTCTGCTATTCCAACGACTGAGCCACGTCGTGTGCAACTCCAACGAGTGAACAGCTGAAGGCACGCGAGACTGGATTTATGCCCTTCGTTCGCTCTCTTTGCTTGTGCGTTTAACCCCCGGCGACGCGATATCGAAGGTCAGATAGGCACGCACGCCGGACGTGGGGGATAACGTCGAATGAGCTCCAGTGTTGACGCCCTCTCCCGCAGCCTTCGCTCTCTTGCGCGGCGGTGTCGTCTTGGAGCAATCGCGGCGTCCTTGCGGCCGCTCTTGAGACTGTGACGCATCCGCTAAAGCCGTCCTTTAAGGGCGACTCGCGTCGTAACGTGTTTGTTTGTTGCTATAAGGCGACATTTTTACGTCGCCCTATCCAGCTCTATTCGGAGCGAAGTTACTGTGGTATTCAATGTCAGCGTTTGCGATTCTAGACGTGTTGATACTCAGGACACTTCCTGTTATTTGGTCTCCAGCTAAATCCATGCATATTGCCGAGGAGTACTATGCCTAGATTAAAGGCACCGGATCCTTGGGCAGCGGAGTAGCCAAGGGGAAAGCTTATGGGGCTTTAGCACCTTTCCCCCCCCCCCCCCCCCCAAAGAAAAAAAAATCCAGCCGACCCTATATTATACACCTGCATTTTGACCCCCTCCCCTCTGCACCCTTAATCATGAACATCCAAACCACCTCAGCCCGCCCCCCCCCCCCCCCCCTCTTCCGAAAAAATTCCTACATGCACCACTGCTTGGAAAGTAGCGCCATTGAATTCCCTGCCTGCTAGCTGGACACAAACATATGGGGCTTCAGCACCTCCCCCCCCCCCCCCCCCCCTCCCCCGTACAACTGACCGAACCATCGCAAAGCGATTGGCTCATAGCTCTGGGTAGTGTTGTGATAATTGGCCTTTGTGGAGGGCACGCTCCTTCGTCTTTCGCTCTCTCTCACTCCGCCCCCCCCCCCCCCCCCGGTGTGTGTGTGTCATCCTATTGACAGTCGGCGAGAGGCCGTTTGAGCCACTAATGACTGGCTGCATCGCCCAGCGCCGTGTTGGCTGCGAGAGACCTTGCCCTCGCAGTCAAGCCTCTTGCAGCGAAGACCGTTTGCGGGATCAGTAGGAATATATCTCGTATTGGGAAGGCTTCTATTGTGCAGTCTAGTCTCGACGACCACGATGGCGGCCCAAGAGTGACAAGGTGCCATGTTCAGGGACGTCTGCGGGTGCGAGATGGGCGTGTGTACGAGGGAAAGAGAACTGGGCGGAGCTCGGAGTCCGGGAACGAACGCTTCGCTACCATTGGCTGCCAACATTAATACAGGAATTACCTACTGGAGAGGAGGGGCCAAGTGACCCTTTAAAACGAGCAGCTGGTTGCTGCGAGAATGTCCTTTTGGACAATTTAAATACATCTGTACACATGAAACGAACGAAAATGACGTTCAAGAAGTAGAGGGGGTAGAAAAAGACGAAGTAAAAAAGTGGGAACGGCTATATTAGATATCTTTTGGAATACACGTTACAAATTGGTGCAAGAAGTGGGATCGGAGTCAGAATTCTCCCCAAACGACAATGCCAGCATAACGAGGACGATCCTTCCACCAGCTTAACGAGGGTGAGCCGTGAACAGCTTAACAACCAAAAATCACGCTGGCGGAGATTTGGTCGCCATTCAGGAGTAAGAGCGACGAATCACTGACGTTCAAACCAACCTTACGCAAGTAACGCAACAACAACATCATCAAGACGTTTAGACCAATCACTCCTTTATGTAATCCTTTAAAACGACACTACAAGTACGCCTTAAAGTCTTGACTGACACACTCCAGAATGTTAAATGGGGTGCACAGTCGTCGCTTGCAACTAATCTGCAGCCAGTACTTCATCCACCGGCTGCTGAGTAGGAAGCTCCTAAGGGACTCCATGTATTACCGACGTCTTCTTGTCAAACATTGAATATGAAACCTCAAGCGTTCGATAGAACGGCTGCCATCGATGCCTATCAAACCCAATTTGAGGCGATTGCAGGAGCGAATGGTTCGGATACACTTTCTAAAGTACAAAACCTAGCATCTTAGTTACGAGGGAGAGCTCTGGAAGTATTTTTTCGGCTTGTCGTCGGATTCAAGATTGGAATATTCACCTTTGGTGGGAACTCTACGAGCACGTCTTGGAGATGACCACCTTCAACATCTCCATTATGCTCAACCAACAACACGAGGACAGAGTTTGACGGAGTCGCTCACGGATCTCGCGGCAGATATTGAGCGCATGATCCGTAAATCATTTCCCAACTGCTCATCTCCAAGTTCGAGATGATCGCTGTAGCAAATTTTACTGTCAAGAAAGTTCAACGCACACTCCGCTGGGCTCGGAATACTACCCTCCGGGAGTCCGTCGCTACTGCCCAGGAAATTGAGGCTGCAATCCTTGCGACCAGTGTTAATTGCGCGCCGCAATATAGAAAGAAAATGTGAGTGAGCACCGACTACTAGCGCGACAGTACCGAGACAGCCATCGTTGCTTCAACTGCAACAGACCAGGTCATCTATTACGTAACTTTACAAAAGGACAGTTGAAAAATTAGAGAACTGCGTCACAGGGGCAGAACCGGTTGTGAATCTGCCAGTCCCCCCCCCCCCCCCCCCCCTTCCCGCTAAACACCATCGAGGCAACATGCACATGCCCACGGGTCAAACTAAAGCTAAATGAAGACAACGCTGCCTCACAACAGTTGATAGATACTGGATCTCCTATTAGCCTCGTCGATGTTTCAAACCTGCCACCTGCACCCAGGTTTAACCACCTAAAGTCAACTTTAAGTTTTTATCAGCTAATGGGACACTTATACGTCAACAAGCAGAGCTCGTTTGGAAGTGACTCCTTGGGGCACTAACTTTTCACTTCAGATGATAGTGGTACAAGGGTCTGTTCACCCCCTTATCTTAGAGTGCGACTGGAGCAAACAAGGTGGAATTAACCTGACATTTCAGAAGGATGAAGCGATGGTTAGTTCTGTTTTCAATCCTCCAGGTTTCATTGCCGAGCGAGAAATAAGTAAGTCCTTGATGGCAGAGAAAGAGACACAAACAGTGATTGGTGGCATAACTGTGACCACTGCGGATACATGTACTCCCGCACAAAGAAAAAGAAACTCAGATGTATCACCAGGAGGAAACCAGTTTTACCGTTTCAGCAGCTCATATTATAGTATATTGTGACAGCGCATTTTCTTGCTGATTCTGAAAATGCGCAGTGTGCTGATCAACTTTTTTTCGTCAGCGACTTCGAGTTGCAACTAACAGCTTGCCCAGGTAGGTCATTAGAAAATACCTCTAAAGTACGAGTTGCTAAGAAAACAGTAATTCTTCTCGGTTCAGCAGTCTGTTGTGTGAAAATTTCATGACCAATGAATGGCTGCATATTTGAAGGTTCATGCAATGCAGCCCTTCATCGTCAATATGTGGCAGCTTCTGCGAGTAAAATCATTCCAGATATGTCTTTAGAAAAGACCTCTGAAGCACGAGTTGAACAGAAAACAGAAATTCCTCTCCGTTCAGCAGTTTGCTCTTGTGAAATTTTCACGATCGAAAATGGTTGCATATTTGAAGGTCGATGCAATGTAGTCCTTCAACGTGAATATGTGGCAGTTTGAAGTTTGCTATCCGGCAGTGGACAAGATACTTCCGTTTTAGTGGTAAATCTGTCTAGTAAGGAAATAACTCTTACTTCTCATAATCAGCTCAAAAGTATCTCTAATCTACCAACTGAAGCCATGATGGTATCGAGAGATACCGAACCGTTCCCCGAAGGTGCAACGTTGGTGAACCATGCTGACTGAAATGTCTTTAACTTCAAACCTAAGTTGTCTCGTGATCAGAGGTAGGTCATTCAGACAATATTAGAACAATACCAGAGCTGCATAACACTTTATTTGGATGACCTGGAAGCAACTTCACTGGTACGACATCGAATTCAAAGTGGTGACCATCCGCCCATCCATCAAAAGCCCAGAAGACTCGATCTCCATCAAGAAAAGGCGTAAGATTAGCAAGCGAGTCGAGGACATGACCAGACAAAAGATTGTTACACCATCAGTAAACCCGTGGTCATCACCCCGTGGTCCTTGTTCCAAAGAAGGATAGACCTGTAAGTGTTTCCGTCGACTACAAAAACGAAACTGCTTCACAAAGAAACATGTTTACCCCCTACCTCGTTTAGACGATGACTTTGGTTGACTTCATGGCTTGGAATATATTACAACTCTTGACTTGCAAGCTGGCTATTGGCAAGCGATAATCGATCCACACGACACCGAGAAGACAGCTTTTGTAACGCCGGTTGGTCTGTAGCAATTTCCACGCCTGCCATACGGTCTATGAAACGCCCCCTTCCAACGTTTCATGGACCACGTGCTTCGACATATGAGGTGGACAATGGCTCTAGTCTACCTGGATGACGTTGTGCACGAACACACTTTTGAAAAACGCTGCAAAAAAACTCACCTTGGTACTCAACGCCCTTTGTAAAGCCAACCTCAAGCTAAAGCCAGACAAGTGTCACTTTGGATACACTAAAAAATTTTTGCCCCATTTTACGGCAAAAGTTGCCGGTTCAATATTGCCGACATGTTTTCCGTAATCCAGAATATGGACCGTCTGTGAAAACAAGACATATAATTTCGTAAAATGACGGAACGTCCGTAGCTCACTTTACGAACAATTATCCATTTTTTCATTTTACGGGAAAAGTTGCCGGTTCAATATTGCCGACATGGTTTCCGTAATCTAGAAACTGAAACGTCCGTAAAAACAAGGCATATATTTTGTAAAATGACGGAATGTTTGTAGCCCACATTACGGACAGCTATCCGTAGGAAATATAAAAGTTGTTCGCACTAAGTAACGAAGCACTATACCTTTCCGCCTTATATAAGGCCAAAGCTACGAGCCATTCGTACCAACTGCACCTCCGATACATCTGCAGATTCCCCTCGCAGAGCTCTAGCCCTGCCAGGGGTTTCACCTAATGTATCAAAGGTGCAGGATTGGTGCAGACGGCTCGTAGCTATGGCCTTCAAAAAGACAGAAAGGTATAGTGCTTCATTACTTAGTGTGAACAGCTTCCATGTCCAAGTAAGCCGAAGTCACACGAAGCTTTGGGGTACAGATTGGTATGGAGAGTTCATAGCTCCGTC